AGCTTTCAGCAATTTGTTTTGGTACAAAAGTACCTTCACTACTTCATGTTTTGTTTTTTTAAAGGATACAAAATACAATTTTTAAGGATACAAAAAATGTAGTAATGTTTCTAGTACAAAGCAAGGTGAAGTAAGTAATTTACAATTGTAATGACACTGAAAAAATAAAATGCAAAAAAAAAACTCCTGCAGACCGGACAATGTATATAAGCGGCCGGTCTGCTGTCCCATTTTTCTTGGGCCGCCTGTGTGCACATGAGCAGAAGCAGCTGCTTTTGCAGTCATTAGACAGCGGAGAGCATTGGCTTCAGACACAGAGCTGATTGGACCGGCTCTGTGCCTTGTGGTCGCTGTAATTGATTATCACAGCGATCACATGGCAATGTATACATTGCCAAGCCCTCCCCTTTAACCAGTTGACATCCGCGGTGTTAAACCCCCTTCCTGTCCAGGCCATTTTTCAGTATTTAGCGCTGCGGTACTTTGACTGACATTTATTCCGTCATGCAACGCTGTACTGAAATGAATTTTATACCCTTTGGGGACAGATAGAGCTTTCTTTTGGTGGTATTTAATCACCACTGGGGTTTTTATTTTTTACTATATTAAGGAAAAATTACCGAAATTTAAAAAAAAAAAATATTTCCCCTATATTAAATGATAAAACATTTAGTACCCAATTTTTTGGTAAAATATAAAAGACGGGGTCACGTCAGGTAAAAAAAGACACCAAACATGTCAAGCCTTAAAATTGAGCCAGTCCCGGGCCACAGATGGGGCAGCGGATCCCGGGATTGCAGGTGAGGTGTCAGGGGGGGCAAAAAAACGGCGGCGGCGGGGGGAGGGGCGGGGAAACGAGCATATATAGACGATCAGCGGGCTATGGAGCCGCTGATCGTCTATATGTGAAACACCCGGTAACGGTTGTTTGCATTGGTCGGGTCTTTTCTGCCCATGCGTGCCCGCTAGGGGGCGCGCGCGAGCAGAACAAAAAAACCCCCCAATGCTGCAGTGCCGTCCGTCCGTTTTTTTTAACGGGCGGACGGCAAGTGGTTAAGGCAGGCAGGTGAGGTGAAAGGAGGTAATGTGTGAGTGAGTCATTAACTCATTAGTTCTTACTAAAACAAAAGCTGCTGCTGCTGCAGCAGCAGCAGCAACAAGAAGCGACGTTTATAATATTTAACCCTTTCACCCCCCTCCTTTCTTGTATGTCAGCTCCGTTCTGTCTGTGCTCTGATCTGTGTATTAACCCCTTCACCTCCCTTATCCTGCACATCTGTACATCAACCCCTTCATCTCCATCCATCCACTGTATTGACCTGCACATTAACCCTTTAATCTCCACCGCCCTCCGTATATGGCCTGTGCATTTAATGCATCTAGTGAACCATTACCAAGCTCCATGTTTTAACCCCCTCAACACAGGCATGTTTTTTTCAAAAAAATTGTGTCAGAAAATGAGATACATCATTTCGGTACAGCTAAAGAAGATTGCATATCATGTGTGACCAACTTTACTTTGAAGGCATCACATAACCTGTTCTTTTTTTGCCTGTTTTGTTTTTCCTTTTTTTTCTTTTCAAGATATTTTCATTAAACTACCATTCAGCCTAACCTTAGAAGATGATGCAATCACACTGCAGTGTGTGGGCAGCTTACATACTGTATAATAAAATCCTGAATTTATAAGTCAAAGTAGGTGCTATGTCTTTGTTAAACAGGGTGATAGGTGGGAAACATTCCGAGAAGATGTGTAGGTGGTTTATGCATTGCTATCCAAAACAGTTAAGCTAGACATAGGAGAGGGCATATACAGGTGAAACTCGAATAATTAGAATATCGTGCAAAAGTAATTGCAGTAAGTGCTGCAAAAGGGGCCCAAACCAAGCACTGAGTACATATGCATGCTTGTACTTTTCAGAGGTCCGATATTGTTCTATGTACAATCCTTGTTTTATTGATTGCATGTAATAATCTACTTTTTTGAGGTTGTGGATTTGGGGTTCTTGGGGTTTTCATGAGCTGTACGCCATAATCATCACAATTATGACAAATCACGGCTTGAATTATCTTGCTTTGCATGTAATGAGTCTATCTCATATATTAGTTTCACCTTTTAAGTTGCATTAGTGAAATAAATGAACTTTGCACGATATTCTAATTATTCGAGTTTCACCTGTATAAATTACATTGGATAAGAATTGTCAAAAGTTTGAGATCAGCAGTTGCTGTGAAGTCCAAGAGCACTGTGTATAAAAGTGGCCAAACATGTTAGAATCGATCATGCAATCTACTGAGTTTAAAAAGGGTTATGCAGAAACGGAAGTGTGGACTCAAATAGGAGTAATATGATTTGCAGAATGTAGTATGAAATGTTTATTGACTAAGCAGATTTTACACTGGACATCATAATCTCTTTTCTTTTGTTGATTATAAGATATATGTATTTAAATACCATTTATTTTATCTCTGTAAACTCTGCAAAGCAGACTTTAAAGCGTGTGGAAAGCTTAATTCTTGTAAACAATAACTGTATGTATATACTGAAGTAACTTGAACTGAACTGTCATAGGCACTGCAAGTAATGTAAAGCTAAGGCACTGCGTACAATACAGAGGTAGCCTTAGTGATCTTGCGTTGAAGAATTTAATTTGTAATGACATCTCGGAGAGCAAAAATGCAAGCAGGAAGGATTCAGATATCTGCTTTTGTTTTGCAAGTGCCATTTTTTTCAGATCCTCTCTCAGTAAACAACTTGAGCTGTTCCAAAGATCAAGGAATATACATAGCTCACGAAATTGTCTTTATTTCTGTGCTCAGATAAAATTCTAATACTTAAGTCCAATGTCACTAGGACAACCCTAATGCTGGTAACAAACCTTCAGCTTCAGGATCGCTAAGAGAGTGTTTGCCAGTCTCTATGGAATCACTCCTTCATTAGCAGGGCCAGTAACACGTCACTATAGCTGCCCCCTTGCTAGGGAGAAAGATTTGAAAGCATTCTGGCCCAGCAAGAAAGAAATTCAACAGATGTAAAGTGTGACTCTGCCACTGACAATGTGACGATGTGTTGCTAGCAGAAGAGTGTACCACTGTGACATCACAATGAATGCTCGAAAAGCAAACAAACGTATGTGCGTCTGCTTGTATGAGTGTACATGTATAGTAACAAATGTTCCGCACTATCTAACTGTAATGTTGTGTTACGATAAGCAGCCAACACTCAATGTGAAAACACACCCGGTTAGAACTGTCACTTTTATGCATTGAGTCCCGTTGGCGATCCGGTGACGTCACGGACATCGGGAGGAGTCCGGTGACGTCGATGTCCGTGACGGTTAAAGAAGGGAAGGGGGGAGGAGTCCGGCGATGCCGATGTCTGTGACATCACTGGACTCCTCCCACCTTCGTTAGCCGACATCACCGGACTCCTCCCCCCTTCGTTAGCCAACAGAGCGGTGAGTTTGCCCAAGAAACTTTCTGCACGAGTGCCAGCCAAGGCATTGGCCTATACACATACAGCACAGCAATTAAGTAATAAAATGAACTAGGATCACACTAATCCAGCACGTTATTATTCTGAGTTGCCCCACTCAAGCCGCGGCCATATTAAGTGGGGCACGTGAGATTAATAACGCGCTGGATTAGTGTGATCCTAGTTCATTTTGTTACTTCATTGCTGTATGTGTAAAGGCCAATGTAGTTGGATTTGTATGTGCGTTATAATTAATCGATTAAAAAAATTTAGATTAATCGAACACGAAAATTGTTATCATTACCAGCCCTAATATATATATATCTTACTTTCTAAATCACACTGCAGCATCTCAATAGATTCCATTGCAATACAATGCTGCCAGCCGCATTTCTGAATGACATTTAATTTGGTAAAGCACTGTGTATGAAAAAAACAATTGCCATTTTTATTAAAATACTGTTTCCCTCTCTCTTTTATTCTGTTTGCTGCAGATCAGCACTGCTGACCTCCAACAGTCTCTTTGCAGCCATTTCCTGTCTACATGCACTCCATAGATAGGGGCATGGCATTTCCCAGGGTGGGTTCCTTCAAGGTGACAACAGTTGACCATGCCTGTGTATTGTGCATTGGCATGGACACTGGTAGTGTATATTGAGAAGGTGTGTGACAGGGTGACAATACAGGAGAACAATTGGGATACATGGACACCCTGTCACAAGGACTGCCTACGTAGTAGAATCACCATTATTTTAAAGAGTGCTACAGATTCAAACATTTTAATCATCACGATTGACATAATATTAAACAATCTTGGAAAGCTTATATGAGATTTTAGAAAATGGGGGTTGCATATTCTTTAGCTACATTGAAGTTTGCAGGAAAACATCATGGTTATGCTAAAAGGAGCCTGGGCATTTTGCTGCACTATTACGCATTTTGACTATAGTATTAGTGGAACTGCTGTCAGAATACATGGACTGCTGCAGATTAGCCACAGTTACTGTTCAGCTGAAATTTTTTTTACCCGGCTCCTTAGACAAATGTCGATTACCAATAAAGCTACCAGAGCCACTCAGTGTAAGAATTTCAGCCGATTCCTGTGAACTTAATAGTGTATGGACAGCCTATCGCTGCCCACACACCTTACAATTATCTGCAGATTTTCTGTGGTCAGATGGAAAAGGTTCTGACTACAGAAAATCTGCAGATAATTGTAAGGTGTGTGGGCACCTTAAGTCTAGAGATTGGTAGGAAATGCAAATCTTCCAGGCTGAAGGTGGTGATCAATTTTGCCTATGGGACGATCTTAGCCTAAAAAGAAATACAAGGAAGGAAATAACTGCATATAAACCTACATGACTACTGGTGCTTTATGACCCGTTAATAGTTATTGGCTTACAAGATAACACCCAACGATTTCTAATGAGTTTGATGAGCAAACGATAGAATACGCCTAATGATAAGCTAACTGTTGTGACAGGGTCATTTTAATGCATAGGAGCTGGATTTACATGCAACCTACCTTACTGATTGCAGCCGCCTGTTTCAGAATGTTTTCTTGAAGCTTCTGTGCTTTCCTCTTGTGGAAAGAATTACTCTGACTCTGTATCACAATGACTATTTCTCCTATTTCTGTAATAAAAGATGTCAGATCATTTTGAATTAAAAAGGGAATTACTACCTGTTGTTCGTTTTCACAATCAAAATGTATTTAGTAGGGATGTCCCAATGCTACTTTTTCAGGTCCAAGTACAAGTACTTCCCCTCATGTACTTGCCGATACCAATTACCAATACTTTTTCTTAAAGGGACAGGTGACTTTAAATGATCCATAGTACAACTAAATGTTCTGTACTATGGATCATGATTTAACCTATTCATGTTAGCAGCGGAGAATTGTAACTCTATTGCTGGAGTGTAGTGGAGGTATGTGCTGTATATATGTACTACATATGCATTACACACGTCCAGTACACTATAGCAATAGATTTACAGCCAGCCCCGTCCCAGCTTCCCTCACTCACAGTTTCACTCCGATCCCTGTTGCCTCACGTAGTCGGCGCTGGTTCGCGTCACTGCTGCTCCGGTGGGCGGCGCTCCAAGCGGGGCCATCTGGCAGTCTCCGGCCACCTAAATTAGGACCCCACTCGGAGCTCCGCCCTCCGGAGCAGCAGTGACGCGACTCTCGGCGAGGTAAGTAAGAAGAAAAAAACAGTGCAAGCTTCGGCGCTAGGCATCGGGGCATTTTGACAAGTACAAGTACTTGTCAAAATGCCCTGTATCGGGCCCGATTCCGATGCCAGCATCGGTATCGGGACATCCCTAGTATTTAGTGGTTTAAATAGAAAACGTGTAAGAAGAGAATAGCCTAGTCACTGAGAATAACCCTCACTGTTCAGAGAGGGAGGTCCGGGTCCCCAGCCAAAGAATAGCAAAAAAAAAAAAAGAGTAAAGATGGCCATACATGTCAAAACCTATTAAAGAACTCCAGGATAAATTTGTATTAAACCTTTAACAGGGGCTACCCCCACACTGCAAGGGTTAACTACTTGTTTTTTTGTCTAGGTTGAAAGTTACTCACCTGAACCACAGAGCCGGCTTGTTCTAAAACTGGTCCTTCCAGCCTCTCTCCCCCTCCCCTGCAGGGGTCTAAGGTCCCGTAGCTCCGCTGCAAGGGTTAATTAACATTTTTTTCTGGAGTTCTTTAAGAGCTCTCTAAATTGATTTATATGGAGTATCTCTGGTTCGCGCTCTGATTGAGTGAATTATTATCAATAGGTGGAAGAGTAAAGTACCACTGTGAAGAGGCAATCAATAATTCCTGTGTACACTGTTAAAGAGGATTTCCATAAAACAAAAGTACCACTACCCTGAACGATTAGGATCCTATGAATAGCCACAATGTCTAACTTCACCTGCAGTGAAATCGGAGATGGAAACCCATTCAATTAGTTCCACTTTAAATGCTGACACAGCAAAAAGGCTACAGATTGCTAGAGTTCTGCTTGGGGACGATGACATAAACTGTGCCATATCTGATGACATCAAATTGATTCCTGTTTAGCTAAACCCAGAGAGAGTAAGCCATTGTTTGGTGCCAACTAGCCATTAACTTGGCCAAGTAGCCCACTGAGGCATCAGATATACTATGCCAAGTCATGTACTAAATGGAACACAAGAAAACGAATGGGGTCTGTTTTTAAAGTATTCAAGCAATAACCCACATTAGCTCTTCTTACAATAGGGTGAATGTGCACCAGATGAATGGCACTTTTACAGTAAGATATCAAAACAGTATTAACCCAACTGGCACATTTTCAGTTGGAGCTCTCCATAGTCCTGAAACCAGGAGGGTTATTTTTATTCAAAGTTATTTATTTATTTATATAAAAATGTCCCAGTATACCAGTGCTGGATGCTGATAGTGCCCAGCAGAGTGTGCCAGCATGAGGGGAATCCCATGTGTCTCATACTTGCACTGTATAAATTTAGTTTTATGATTGCTAATTTTACTCCAGCACTGAGAGTGTACGTAAGAGCAGGGTTCTCTTGAACCTCCCTGCTCAACCTCTAGCACAATGAGGGGGATACCCGCAGTTCCCCAAAGAGTGATCACGTATTTGTTTCAACGCGGAGGACAGGTAGGTGGCACATAAACATGCTGTTTTGGGGTTCCAAAGAGCCAATGCCCATTGGATGGCACCACAGACAGCAGAGAGGTTGGTATTAAATATTTTCTTTGCAAGAGGCACATTTCTGAAACTTGTATTTTTATTACAGATGTTTCAAGGGATATGCTATGCTTGAATGTGACACACATGAAGTGAACATACTAGAAAGTTGGAAAAGAAATACTGTAAGGTTTGTAACCTGCAGACCATGGTATGTCTACACAGCAGGGGCTGACTGGCAACTTTGAGAGGCCCGGGGGGCAATTGCCACCCTGCCCCCCGGCCCAGTCTGCCCCTGCTACACAACATATCATACACAATATAATGTGTATGTGCCTGCTTAATTCTCAAGACTAACAATGTAGAAATGATCATTGGAAGCTGATTGGTTGCTAAGGCCAAGAAGAAAAAGTTTCCTTAAGCACTTTTTAAAGCTTTTCATACATTACTTCCATTAGGAGATGAATACCAGAACCGCAGCAATATTTCCACATTCCCCATCATTTGTCAAAAATAATGATAAAAGCACTTAACATCTTACCTAATGGAGTTTGAGCATGCAATCCACTTTTCTCATTTTTCTGTAAGGAAATACAAAAGAAAATACATTATAAAAATCTATATATAGTAATAATGAACAATGTACATAAAGTATGATTAGACCAATTCAGGAGGCAGAAGAAAGGTCTGTTCATACTTATGCTAATTTAATGAAGTTCTACAATATAACAAAATATCACTGCATGTCAATGGGCCATAAAGTACACAGTTTTCATGAGCTGGTTTACGTATATGAGAGTTAAAGTGCATATTTTTTTTATCCTGGTGATCATAGTCAAAAAGAATGGATTTCCCACAGGTTACATTTACACTAGTACTCCTGAAATTAGGTTAGTTACATGCAGGAGAAATTACCGGGGAAGTATAAACAAACCTGCATTCCAGGTTACATTTGCCTGCATTTAGACGTACTTGCCTTTTTGCGGATGTAGTCACGTTTCCATGGGTTTTGAGTTTCTAATTCGATCCTGGTTGCACAAAATCCTATTTCCTCTAAACACTAAACCCCTAAAAACTAATAACCTAACATAGGTATTTGAATAGATGTTAATAAAAAAAGCATTCACTTTGATTCCAGTCTCATTTAAAGTGGACCTCAACTAAAAAAGCAAATCTGTATAATTGCAGTGTGCACTTAGTCAAAGTGTAAGAACGGGTGCTGCACTCTAGAAATAAATCTTCCATACGCTGTTTAATCCATGAGCATAAATAAGCTGTACACTGGCACCCAACTTTACACTATCACGTGTTCCACCATTATGGCTTGATCACTTTATTTATGCTCATGGATTAAACAGCGTATGGAAGATTTATTTCTGGATTGTGGCTCCCCTTTTTACACTTGGATTTAGCGCACACAGCAGTTATGCAGTTTTGCTTTTTAAGTTGAGGTCCACTTTAAATGAGACTGGAATCAAAGTGAATGTTATTTTTATTAACATCTATTAAAATACCTACATTAGGTTAGATTTATTTCTGGAGTGCGGCTACCCTTTTTACACTTGGATTTAGTGGTCGTCAGGCTGTGGCGTGCCTGACAAGCATATGAGATCTTAGGATTGTGGAGGTGAATTTAAGCAGTGTATTTGTTTTGTGTGATCGTGCAGTGTGCAGTTACTGCAGTTTTGTGGCACAAAGTGTCTCATCAAAGTCTATGGAAGCATAAAGAGCTGAAATCTGCCAAACAGTAGCTCTGTACTATTTCCAGCCACAGGTTTTTCTGCTTGTGACAAAATGCTCAGGCGTGAACAGGGGCCAACAAAATTAATGGGATTCCTTGTCTTGAGTGTATTGTCACGTTAACCTCCGAGCAACAAAGGAACATAGGCACTGCTGCCTCTGACTGCTAGAGAATTGGCGTAAGATTTGGTGATGTTATTACTATGCTGCTGACAGCTCTTCTTGCTAGAAAATGTAGTTTTGAAAAGGGCATGAAAATCACACAGTAAAGATGTGTTATAATTGCATATGTTTGTGTTATGTATTTGCATGCAGGATTTGATTAAACAATGACCCTGTAAATAAGGGGGCATCTAGATTATAGATATATGACAGTACAAAAGGTAATTAAAAATAACAGTATATATTATAACAATAAAACTGAAAATACAATAGTAAAATTCCAAAGCATTGTATAATTACTGGTATGATGATGCTTATAACAGTGGCAAATATAAGAGCTGTAATTTTGAAGATTTCCAGTGGAGGGCAGCAAAGATACCGCTTTGTTAAGAGGAAAAAATATTTTCGCACTGCAAAAAAAAAAAGAAAAATGTGACTTCATTGCTTTCTCTTTAGTTTGTGGACTTATAAAAGCTTGTTTTTGTGTAGTTGGCCACATGTATTCAACGAGCCTATCCCACCTCACCAACTAGATTATAAGAGCATGGCGCTCCTAACCCTCGTCTTGGTTTGTGTTAAAACTATACGGTCTCCCTTAAGGTGCCCACACACCTTGCGATAATCACGGGAAATCCCGCGATAGTACGATTATCGCAAGGTGTGTGGAAGGCGTGCGACCGTTTCTACTGTACGGTTGCACAACTTTTATTTTAGGAACATGTTTGAAAACCCGCCGAGAATCGTATGATTGTCTGCGGGTGTGTGGCATGTTCGTAAGATAAATACCGCACAGGCCGGGGTGTGCGCAAGGGCACACTGCCCGTTCAGCATTGCGGCCATCGGAAGCCCGCCCCTCAGCGGGGCGGGCTTGCGATTATCGCAAGTACGATCTGCCTGTCCAAGATAGGCAGATCGTACGTTTTTTTAATTACCTTACAACCATCACAAGACAAAAGTCTTGCGATGGTTGTAAGGTCTGTGGCCAGCTTTATACTGAAAAAATGCTGCACAAACTGCTGGCGCTATAGAATCCTGTATAATATAAAAAAGTTAACACTGCTTGAGCATGTCTTCATAGTATCTACAATCAATAAATCAGACTCAATTGACTGATAATGCAAATAAAACTTTCACCATTCATCCAAGTGACTTCTTTCATGCATCTGTGGGCATGGATTTCCCCAGCAGAAACAATTTTGGTTTTGGGTCAATTTTATTTAATTCTTACCCACTATCAATGAAGTAACCTATGTAGTAGATTCATTTTGACCTGCAATTCGCTCTATTAGCTACAACCCTATAGATGCCAATGTTCAAAATAACCCTAAACCTGAACCTACACAAATACAGGCCGGTGTATTCCCTGGTACCATCACCATGCTGGACCTGCAGCCTTACCCAAACACACAGAATGAGAGAAACTTCCATACAATGTGACAAATGGTTGTAAGCACACGGCAGGCTAAGGAGACATTTGTAGATATCGCATCATGCAGTGATCATGCAGTCCATGCCACTTTGTGATCTTCTCATGCAGTAAATATCATACAACCATGCTTCTTTATCAGTTGTGATTGGTTCAGAATCTTGTTTTGATCAATTGTAATTGGTTAGGTACAGATAGTACTTGATTCCTGTAAGGTATGATAGGAACACCAGCGAAATGATCTTCAGTATCATGCAAGGACTACTGTAGCGTACAGTAGGTGCGTGAGGTCATCGATACAAAGCCCAGAAATAGGTAATGGGGCTCCTTACCTGTCTAGAAGATGCAACTGTAGTTAAGTATTTTCTTTTCATAAGTTACTAATTTAATGACTTTTAATTCTATTGCTTTATGTCCGTCTCTATTCCTTATCTCATACACGGCCAAAAAGTTTAACCCTATACATAATATTACAACAGATGAAAGCTGAACTCTCAGCAGATGGAGAAAAAAATAAAGATGCAAATTATCGAACATCTGTTATCATCAATACATCATTCAATGGGGGCTATTCACAAAGGAGCCGAAGGATCCAGCCGTAGCTTCGGCTGATACTTCGGCTTTCTTCGACCACTAGAGCCATTCGGTTCAGTCGAACCTAAGGGCAGCTGTACGGGCTATTCACAATAGCCCGTACAGCAGCCGAAGGCGGCGGAGCAGTTCAGCAGAGCCGAATCGGGGTGAACAGCCTGCCTAAGGCCGGCCTTTCGCCCCGCAAATGACAGCTGGACTGAGCCAGCCGTGATCTCATCTCATGAGATCACGGCTGGCTCCGCCAAGTTGTTATTCATTGGCTGGGACCTGGTAGACTCTAACTATAACTGCTAGCTCTGCCCAATTGTGTTTTTGTTTTAAATTAAATCTTTATTTTTTTATTGAACTATTTATTTAAATTTTTTTTTAAATCAACTTTTTTTTTTCTCATTGATTTTGCATTCTGCTCTGTACCACGGAGGTACAGAGTAGAATAGCTGAGCCAAATGCCGCTCGGCTGCATTCGGCTATTCATTCACTGCCGTTCAGCCACTATGAGAATAAGGGCGAACGGCCGCGAGTGAGCTGCTGGAGCTTTTGCTCAGCCAATCCAGCTGAGTCGAAGTCCTTCTGCATTTCGGCTCACCCGAACAGGCAAAGCATGTTCAGCTGACGGAAGTGCAGCCGAAGGCAGCTGATGTACGGCTGAAATCAAACTACAAGCCAGAAGTGAATAGTCGAACGTAGTTCGGCTCACTTCACTTTGGCTTGGTTATTCACTCGACTGCCTTCGGCAGCTTTGTGAATAACCCCCAATGTATTTTAAATGCAAGTAGTTTTAAGTACCTGATTGATGTGAATGTAAACTATGTAAAGCGCTGCGTAAATTGTCAGTGCTATATAAATATATGTAATAAATAAAGTAAACTGGTATCCACCACTTGCTGTCCACATACAGCAGGGCTGGGATATGAGAGGAAGAGGTAGTACAAGGTGCCAATCAACTCATGTGCTAACAAGAAGCATGCTGATAGGAAGACAGAAGAGTGACAGAGAGAGGAGCTCATCACTTTGCTGCTTCTCCTTTTACTGTCCAGTCATAAGCTGGGGCAGGTCCAAGATAACCTGGGCTTAGAGTAAGCGTTTTAAATGATGCTGGCCATCAGACAGATTATCTAGTAGAAGAACAAAAAGTACTGTAGGGGCAATCTCTGGATTGATGCAGAAAATTATAACCCAAGATGACTTTATTTTATCTTTTTAATGCAATATTTATTGTTATCTATTCATTTTTGGTTGGAATACTCCTTTATGGTAGACTGTGTAGAACATCTAACTTTGGCAGTATATTACAATGTTTTCTGCATAAAATTAGCAGTGCACTAGCAGACTTTTCTTGTTGCCTGGATTTGTACTTTATTAAAGCAAATAGTATTCTAGAAAGTAAAATAAGCTACAGCAAACAAGCCAAATCAATCATTCACTGCTCCCAAAATGGAGAAGAAATCTGACTGGCTACTAGGACTTTTTTTTTGCATTCACACCTCCTTGTGGGTCATTCATTACCCCCTAAAGAAACACAGAAGCTTGACAAGTGTTGAAATGCTGGATAACACAATGCAGAACATGTACCACACAATTTTTTTTGTATTGTTTTTCAGTATAAAACATGCACAGAATATCAACATAAGAACATATCAATCAATGCAGTAGATGCTGA